GTGAAGACCTAGCTTTTAAAAATAGTGAAGATCTAGCTTGATGAACTGTAATTTTGGCTGCCTCCCTTTTGGATGCACACGAAAGCTCATACCAAGAACTAACTTAGTTGGTCTTTAAGGTGCTACTGGAAGGATTTTTTTTTTGTTTTGACTATGGCAGACCAACACGGCTCCCTTTTGGTGTGTGTCTGGAACAACACCAAAACTGCTCGTCTAACCTTAACAAACACTGGGCTACTCTAGATGGTAGAGGGTATCCCACACCTTATTTTAGGCTCCTTATATACATACCTATAAGAGACAGCTCTCAATCCTACAACCCTACTAAGCTCAAGTGCTTGGAAATAATTTATCCTTGTTTACATTATGGATGCCAACTCAATTCAAGTCCTTCAGTCCAACTGGGTCATGAATCTGGGTTGCTTGAATATGCATATCATCATAGCAAACCCATAAAGGGAACCAATATGTTGAAGTTACGGTAATATCAGATGAACCACAAGGCAGTCAAAAACGGAAAGGGTGGATTCACTCTCATTTGGCAGTCTTCATATCTGACCCACATAAAAGTGATTTAGCCAAAACAGAAGAAATGTATGATACAGCTAAGCTAGATGTAATGGCTACTAAATTAAATGAAAACTGGCCTGTGTGTTCTTTGCAAAAATCAAGATAACCTTTTCATCTTTAATGGTCCAAGGAACAGTGAAACATACAAGAGGATTAATTACTCCCCCTCTGAACACACCTATCAATGTGATGTGAATCCTAGTCTAAACCATTTCAACCAAAAAAAAGCCATGGTATGTGCTTGCAAATCCATTCTCCATTCCTCTTCCAGGCTGCCCCACACTGCTTCCCAGGGATTTAACAGCCTAGGACCATGTGGCTTGTGAATGTGCTTCTCATACACATACAGTCTTACCTTGGGTGTCAAACGCTTTGATACTCGGGCATTTTGGCTCCCAAATGCCACAAACCCAGAAGTGAGTGTTCCAGTTTGTGAACGTTCTTTGGAACCCGAACGTCTGATGGGACTTCCGCGGCTTCTGATTGGTTGCTTCCTACAGCCAATCAGAAGCCATGCTTTGGTTTTCAAATGTTTTGGAAGTTGAACGGACTTCCAGAACGGATTCCATTTGACTTCCAAGGCACGACTGTAATTAGATTTTGTCTGCAGAATCCTGAGAATCTCAACTTATATTTTCTTAAACCAAATAAATATCTAGCTGTGAAATGAAGCTTACGTTCCACTTTTATCCTGTCCACCTTCTGAAAATGCTTTCCAGTGGCATTTGGGGCTCACAAAATCCCTGTACTGTAAGCTTAAGCTGAGATATAGGCTGCATTCAAATGAAATGCTAAACCATGTTGGGCCATGTGAGCCTCGGACTTATGTACTATTCCCTCCTCCTCCAGCATGTCTGTGAGAGGGAAATGAGAATCTTTTGCTTCCATTTTAGGCTAATTTCAGCTTGGTATGATATCTGAACCCAGACAAAGTAGTTAGTGTTAACTATGGCAGGGAGAGTGAGACCCACTTATCAAAACACACCACTCTAGCCACTATGCATCACAGTTATGCACTGCATAAGAAGTTCCAGGAATCAAGTATCATCCTTCATTGTGGGTCAAAGGCTATAGGATGTAACATTTTGAATGAAGTTAAGTAAACTTGCACCTGGTCATTGCTGGATGGGAGGCAGACTGGGAAACCTAAGTTCTGGTGTTGAAAAGATTAGGATATAAGTGTAATTACTATTCCAACTACTACTACTACTACTACTAATAATAATAATAATAATAATAATAACAATAATAATAAAAAACTGCTTCTTGTCAATCCTCAGAAGATACAGAAGCAAATTTGCATAATTTATATAGGTTGGATACCCTATATCCAGCCAGAGATTTAGGTAGTGTACACACTATACCTTTAAAGCACATTCAAAGCACATTTCTTTTTTCAAGGAATTCTGGGCACTGTAGTTCACTGCTTACAGTGTTGCAATTCCCTACAACCCTGAACAAACTACAGTGCCCAGAATTCCTTGAAAGAAAGAAATGTGCTTCAAAGGTAAAGTGTGTGTATGCAGCCAGAGAGGGTGCAACCCAGCTGGGACCTTTGAGCACATGGAATGGCATGTGATCCAATGGAGGAATCTGCTAATGGAGGGGGTGATTTTTGCTTATTCTCCCCTCCCTCTGCAGCCCCCCCCATGCCATCCTTCACCCTGCACTAGAGGGTCCCCCAACCCTCTAAAGCAAGAGCGCCAACTTGGCCCTGTGACTGTGGGTGCCATGCAGCTTGCACAGCTCTGACACTGAAATTTGTGGGTGCCCACCCCTTCATGGGGAATTTTGTGGGTGCTCAGACACACAGGGCCTCAGGGAGTTGTCACCTATGCTTTGAAGCTGATTTTCAGGGTGTGCTGCAGACCACTGCTGGATCAAAAACGCTTGTACCAGTTGGAACACAAGGGATTTCATTCTTCTTAACTATTGTGCCCAATAGCCATTGATAGATTCATGTATGATAGACCTAATAAAAAGATATGAATCTGCTAAATAAAGAGGCATTGATGCCAACAGCTATCATAACATCCTGCAGCAATATATTCCATATCCTGGATTAATTACATGTTGCCAAAAGTATTTCTTTTTTCTGTCCTGAATCCTCTGCCAAGCAATTTCACTGGATGACCCCCAAGTTCTAAAATTCTGAGACTGAGTGGATAACTCTCTGCCAGCAGAAATCTGAACTATCACAGAGGCACCAAGAAATATTCGTGTCTTGTAGGAACTTGCTTTCTAGAATGCTACAGTTAGGGCACACGGTAGAGAGAATGGGGAATTCCAAGATATGGGAAATGTGGAAACGCCCAGTGCCAGGTAGTTAGGCAAAGAACAAGCTTTTAAGAGATAAAGGACCTGGTAAAAGGGCATTACATTGCATAGCTTAAAATGTAAATGTGCAGGATATGAAGATGTAGGGGTGATAACCTAAGTTGTAGTTCTCTCCAAATGTCACACTAAAAAATTAGATCACCTAGGATACAATACAGGACACACACAACACTAATAATTAGGTATTTGACTCGTAAGAGCTTCCTATCATATTCCTACTCCCATGCATTTTAAGCACCAATAGATGTTATTCATCACCACATATGTCACTGTGGGATTACATGCATTCTTAAAATATGAAGGGGCTTCACTTGAAAGATTTTTGTTAAATGAAGCAACCAAAGAAATGTTTATTAATTACAGCCCACTGATTTCATTCACTTCAGATGAGTGAAAATCTCTCTCTCTCTCTCTCTCTCTCTTTACACACACACACACACACACACACACACACACACACACACTATTAAGGTGACAATTATATGCATGCCCTCAATCAACTTATATCTCACCCAGTTCTCATTAATTTCTCACTGTAGTGTTCAAGTTTCCCAAATGTTAAAAAGATTAGAATCTTAAGCAGCCACCCCCCAACCTGGTCCTTTCCAGTTGTTTTAGTCTACAACTGCTGTCATCCTTGACCATTGGGCATACTGGCTGGGACTGTCCAAAACATCTGGAGGACACCAGGGTGAGGAAGGCTGATCGAAAGCAATGGTGGCCAACAACTTGGACAAGTTAGTCACAAGTCAAGCCCACCGTATACGTATCTCTACCGTACATTCAGTACATATGTAGCCTCCGGTGTGTTGGTGGTGGCTTTCCCTGTAGTCTACAATGTAAATGCATGGGCTACAGCCAAGTCCATGGGCTCTCCTGCTCTTTCACAGAGTTCCACAATACCTTCCCTTCCCACTTTCCCTTTGCCACTAGTGGTATCCATTCCACAGGTTGGCAGCTAATACTATAATGTATGGCTCAGGACAATGCTCAGCACCAGGACGATCATCCTTCTTGTCAGTGAAAGAGAAATAGACACCTCCTTCATGCCCTTTCCTGAAAGATGGAAAAGCGCGATTTGTGTTATAAAGTTGCAAAGTGGTTGTTTTTAATACCAGAATCCATCACAGAATTAGCTTACCTGGTTGTAGAGAGAGAGGGAGAAAAAGTTGGTAAGAGATATTATTGCCCCTGCCACATTACCTGCTGAAACATTAACAAACACACATGAATATACACCATCCTCCGCTGGAGAGAGTCGCATGATATTGGAAGATGCCCCTCTTTCAAATGAATCCAACACAGATCTTTCAGGGCCTCACAAAATCCCCGGCATGGTGGAGGTGTTATTGGAAGAGAAGCACTACACCCAGGTACCAGCAGCAAGCAGAAAAACCACTCCAAGTAGCGGTGACACCGAGTTTTAAGAAGCCCCTCCCACTCATGCAAAGCAGCCCGAATTTCCTCCTCACTGCCATGATGCAAATAATTCGGCACTCGGAAACGCTTCATGCCCAGGTTGTTGCAATATGACAGATTGGTCGGTAAGGGCAAGCAGTGGCCAGCTGTTGGAGTCAATCCAGGAAAGAAGGAAGGAAGCCCTGTGCTACTATTGCTAAAATGTTGCATAGTGTAGGTTAGTAGAAACTCAGGAGAGTCAGAGTTATTGGCAGGGGGGAAATCCATAACATTAATTGCATTCGAATTAGAAACAGAATCACTAGAGCGGTTCTTATGTGCATCAGCTACGGCTATCCCAGAATGCTTAAGGAAGGGGTGGCTTTTAAGGCTGAGATGGGTTCTATTGCCATTAGAGACTGATTTGTCTGGATCTGCAACATAATTGAATAGCCGGTTGTCTAAAGCACCCACCACCTTGGATGGAATTCCAGCATGCATGCGGCTGCTATTAGCCTGAAGCTCCTGCAATCCCAAAGCACTGGACAAAATTCCTTGTTTTTCTGCGAAAGCTCCCCAGGGTGCCCTTGTTCCTGGGGTGGTGGCACTTCCTTGCCCCGCATCTGTGGATTCTTGAAAAGCCAACCTGGTGCCACCAGCATGATCATCTGGTGAAAATGAGAAAGGAGCACTACCTGGGGGTGGAGTCTCAGGCTTCTTTAAGAGGACTTTAGTCTTGTTCCAGAGAACAGCAGGCTTTGTAGTCACTGAGAGAACCAGCTCTGGCTGCCCAGCTTCCAGGGAGGTCTGCACATTGCCGGTAGAGTTGGCAGTAGCATTCTGGATGCTCACTGCCTCCGTCACAGGGGTGGGAGCTGCTGTCAGAAGATCAGCTGTTGCAGGTGCCTCGGTCCTCTCCGTCCCTGTGGTTGTCTTCTCGTCCCAGAGCTGAACCAAATTTCTGATTCCCTCAGCAACGTTTAATATTTCAGCCCCTACCCCTGCAATATTTCCTTCTCTGCTTTCCAGCTCAGAAGATGATGTAGCTGTAGGGATCGTTGTGGCTGCAGTCAAGTCCGGCCTCTTCAGGGTGAATATAGTCCACACTCTTCCCTTCTGCTGGGTAGTGATTTCAAGGGGGGTGTTCAGGGTGGCAGCCTCAGGCGTGGCAAGTTGCTGTGCCGTCTGCTCCTCAGTAGTACCAGCAGCTTCTGTGGGTGGGAGGGTTTCTTCCTTCGAACCCCCCCACAGCCAACTCCAGCCCTGTGCATTGGATAAGCAACAGGTCAGCAAGAGCAGAAGCCCAATGCTGAGCTCAGCTCGAGCCATTAAAATGTTGCTTGGAGGAGGAGATGTGCTGCGCTGCAGTGAGTGGTGAATGGAAGAATTCACATTGATCTGTGTCCTCTGGAGCTCCGGGGTGAGGAAGCATGCCGCTCTCTTCCAAGTAGATATAAAACTAGTGGAGGCGTGGTTAACAGAGCCCTCCCCTCCAGCAGCCTGCTTCCCATTAAATCAAAAAACTAACTACAGCACAGCCGGCAAGGCTCTCCAAGGCAAGAGTGGTTCGAGCCACAAGCGTACTTGAAGATGCATTTGTTTCTATCCGATGCGCAAGCACACACAAAAAGGCATACCTGGAAGCCAGCAATTCTGCTCGATTGCTTCACCATGTAAGCATTTTTCCTGTTTTCCCCCTGAAGCTCACAAAAGTATTTGGGCACGTTAAACTCCTCCCTGCCCCGAACGGATACTAAAAGGAGGCAGCGATCTTTCCCCTTCCTGGCTGATTACAGTTAATTTCCTTGACTTGAAATAATTAACATCAGCACTGAGAGTGCACTGATATCTCTTCTTTAAAGATATCATTTCTAAAGGAGGAGGAACACAGCAGGAAACTTGCAGGGGAGTAGATATGCTCCAGTCACACAAGGGGAAGGATTCCTGTCTAGTTAAACTGTTAACGTCAGCAGCTAAAGTTAAGCAGTTTTGAACCCAATTCATTTAACAGGAGAGTTAAATACTTGCTTATAACTCTGCCATTCAAATGAGCATGACTAAAAAGGTGTTTGCATTTGGCTTAATCATATCCATAGTTACTGTGACCGGGGTGGGGGGAGGAAATGGGCTATCTACAAATCAGGGACTTCCCTCCCCATACACATCATCACTGGCAACAGAATATGTATTAGGTATTCACACACACACCAAATCAGGGTGTGAGTTAAGCCTTCCATATGCTCTCTTGAATCCTGTCCATTGCATCTTTTAAGATCTCACAGCTGGATCCAGTTAATGCCTCTTATGGAAAGGGTGATGCCCACCACACTGAACAAAAAGAGGCTGTGCACCCACTCCTAAGAGGATCGTCCTGCACCCTGAGGTCTCAGATAACTATGGCCCAGTCACAAATATTCCTTCCTTGGGCAAGGTGGCAGAAAGTGTGGTGGCTAGCCAGCTAAGGCATGTCTAGATGAAGCAGGTTATCTAGACCCATTTCAATCTTGTTGCAAACAGCTCTGAAACAGCCCCAGTCAGCCTTACAATATGACCTTTATTTGGAGAGAGGCATAGGGAGTGCTACCTGTTGATTCTGCTTGACTTCCTAGTAGTGTATGATATCACTGACCATGGTATCCTGGAGCAGCTCTGTGAGGTGGGGAATGGGAGGCCTGTGTTACAGTAGCAGCACTTCTGCCTAGAGGACAACAACTAGAGAGTAGAATTGGAAGACTTCTGAATCATTGGGTTCATGCCTTTGGGTCACCATATCTATATGAAACTGGTAGGAGGTGCCATCTGGGGACTTGGATGCAGTGTCATCAGTTTGCAGATCGCACACAACTCTATCTCTCAATCCCAACTGAATAAGGAGGGGCTGTGCAAGTCTTGGGCCATTGTCTGGGCACATCCTGCCCATGAACCTTTGGATCAGCAAGCAGCTGGTGCTGACATCTATAGAGTCAACAGCAACAAAAAGGTCTCCTATCTTGCCTTTTCATCACAACTGGCAACACTGGGTGCCTAGCAGCAAGATATGGTGATGGAGGAGGGATCTCATTTTATTTCATTTAACCTTTCCAACGCAATCAAATTCAAAGTATCCAGGTAGAAAAGAAGTGGAAAAGCCTATGGCATTTTTTTTAACAAGCAAAGCTGGGATTGTGAGCAACATGTCTAAGCATAACATGCCCTGCCCAATCCAGTCCCTGGCAGATGTAGTGTGGGGTTCTTCTAAATTCACCCAAAGCACAGATTTGCACTAGTTCACTCTAGCTCAGCGTCATAATCTGTATGTGTCCCCACAAGTTATTACCCTCGGGTTGAAAAGATGGGAAGTGAAATCTTCCTACAGAATAGAATAACCAATGCTACCAGATACATTCCATTGGGAGCCTCCCCTGAACAAAATAGCTGATATTAACATCAGATTAACATAACCTGATCATCAGAAATAGACTATTTTTTCCCTGCAGTACTACTGCATGTTTTGCTGCAGGCTCCTGGTTCAGTCCACAATAGTCCTCAACCTTTTCAGACCAGAGACCTATTTTTAGCCCAAAAATACATTTGGGCACCCACTTTTTATTTATCATTTATTTATTGCATAAAATTTATATACCGCTTGATTGTACAGAAAAACCTCAAAGCAGTTTACAAAAACATGAAGCAATAGCATTATTTTTGAAGCTTGGAGTTTTATTAGAATAGGGAATATTCCAGATAATCACACTTAATGAAAGAGCATATTCAAAAGTCAGGTGATTACCATATTTTTCGCCCTATAAGACGCACTTTCCCCCCTCCAAAAATGAAGGGGAAATGTGTGTGCGTCCTATGGGGCGAATGCAGGCTTTCGCTGAAGCCTGGAGAGCGAGAGGGGTCGGTGCGCACGGACCCCTCTCGTTGTCCAGGCTTCAGGAAGCTATCCGCTAGCCGTGGGAGACCCAGCTCTCCCAGGGCTAGCGGAGACCTTGCCAGCACCCAGAAACTTGGGGGCGCTGAGCTCCGCACTCCCCAAGCTTCGGGTTTAGCACAGCGCACCTGGGGGGGGAAAATTTTTTTTGCTTTATTTCCCCCAAAAAAAACTAGGTGCGTCCTATGGGCCGGTGCGTCCTATGAGGCAAAAAATACGGTAACCAATTTTTAAAATTACATTTGTAGTCATTTCATTGCTATGATGGACACTTGGCATACATGATTTATTCCTGTCATATGCGAGTGTAGATTTCCATGCATGAGTCTGAATACAATAACTGACCATAACTCTCTCACACACCATCTACTAAATGGGCAGTAATGCTGTACATTTTCCTGTGAAATTAGATGAAAATGTGAATGTTAACACAATGCGGGGCACAAAGTGTTAGTAGCTCTACAAGCAAATATTAACTATGTGCAACCTTCTTTCAGCTATTGAGGGGATGACTGGTAAACAACTCATGCCAGGCACGCCAGGCAGCTAAGTGAGTCACTTGCCCCTAAATCCAGTCCTGACTCTATCACTCCCATTCTTCCTCATCTGTATAGGCTTCCCATTGTTCTCCAGAACTAAATCTATGTACCGATTTACAGTACATCCCCAAAGGTCTGCGCCCTGTGCATTTTTACGAGTGCTTTCTCACATAGGCTCCTTCCTATCCCTTAAGATCTATCTTTGGTCAGCAGTCCCTTGTTTACTGAAGTACCTACTGAGGAATGGAACGAGGCCTTTTACATGGTGGCACCTGTATTTCTGGAACCTGCATCTCAAGGACCCCAGTCTCTGGAGTCTTTCTGCTGGCAGGCACATATTTATGTTTGGAAAGAACAATGGAATATGATCTGGATGGGTCTTAATTTATACACTCCGCTATTTGAATTTAGATTGAATCTCTGTTTCTATGTAAGTTTTCAATTTTGGTTTTGATACTATTTTTACTCTTGCAGTCATGCTATGTATTTATTTATTTATTTTGTAGAAATGAATTTTCAATTGGTTGCAGACCTATGAAAAGTTTATGTAATTGTGCTTCTATTTAGAGCGCACATATTTCACAATACAATTAGCTAATACAATTTAAAGAATAATCCTAACTCTCATATCCATCTGCTGGAGGGGATTACGGTGCGTAGAGGTGTCTTTCTGCCAATGAAGAGCAGCTCACCTTTTTTTGGGGGGGTGGAGGGAATATGCACTGTTGAGGCCTCTGGTATGGTCACTGAAAGCTCCATGGACATAGCCAGGATTTGGCCCTGAAGCAGGGCAGGGCAGAGGCAGCACTGGATATGCTGGATCCAAAGCACTATATTCTCTCAAGAGACTCTGGGATAGAACCCATAAATTTTTACAGCCCATAACACACACATTTCAAGGTGGGTAGAAATTTTTAATGCCAGAGCAAAAAGAAAGAACCATGGTGCCCACAACTTGTACGACTTTGGAAGTGGAAAACTATTCCCCACTTTGCCCCATCCCATTTAGGATTGCTATGTCCAGCTGTAGTCCTATGCAGGCTTACTTGAGAGTAAATCTTGCTGAACTCATTGGGACATACTTCTGAGTAAACATACACAGGATTGTGTTGCTAGGCAGATGTGATCTCTGATGTGCTTGCTCCTGAATTATCATCTTCCTGCTGTCAGAATGATCCAACGTAAGTCAACATTCCATTGTTCATCCAACGGTTTGATAGCTCAGGCTCAAAATCTTGGCAGAAGCAGAATAGCCTAAAGTTCCTTTTGCACTGAAGCAACTCAAAAGTCACCAACAGACGGCATGCACTCAAGCGGGCACACAAATTATCACTTTTATTCCTTCCTTCCTTATACCTCCGCCAATGATTTCTTCAAATTTGGCGGCCCAAATATTTTAAGCACATATAGTTTACATGATTTATGCTAGACGCAGATCTTGTTTTTTCCTTCCTTCAATCATTTGTGGAAATCCATCATGAACTTCCAGCTCTGCTGCAGGCACTAACTCATGCTGTTCTTCTACATGATACATTTTCAAGGAATAAAATAAATTTAAAAAGAAAAGTCAAAGCTTCACCTTTCAATGAACTTTTGGGGTGTAGCTCAGAATTAAATCTCACACTCATTACCTCAGCTTTCCACTGCTTTGTAAGTGCAGGGTCAGAAGGCACTTCTGCAATCTCCTGTATCTCACAGAACAACATAATAGCATCCCACCTATGTCTGGGTATTTGAGGGAGAGCCTGCCAAAACCCTAAACACGCTGGATTTCCAATTTATTCGTGTCAAGATCCTTCCAAGATAAAACAAAACAAATGTTTACATACCCCTAGGAACAACTGTTCTCTACCCCAGTCATATTTCCTTTAATCTGTTATTGACCCCATAATTGAATAAACCTATTATCTGTAAATCTCATTAAAGGATTATGACAACTGGGCTGTCCATATTCAAAAGGCATGTT